CTTTTCCATTAAACTAAAGTCTGCTGATTTGTCTCTTCACAGCAAGAGCTCAGCCCTCTGAGGCCAGCCTTAAAGACATATCAAGGCCAGATGACGCATGCTCCGTTGTGCGGTCTCCTTTGCCCCGCTGAAGCCTCCTTTGGGGAGCTGCAGACCCCATTCAGCTCAGAACACAGAGTGCAATGCCTGTTTCCCCTCAGGAATCAGCAGGGTCAGGTAGTATGTCTTGGGGCCTACTATAAGGTCTGGATGCCATTGAGCTCCCGGCCAAGGAGCTCCCTGACCCTGAGCCCCGGAGATGCCCTCTTTATAAGTGCTTAAACCCCAACTTCCCTTGACTCAGAGAGGAAGCAGAGCTTGCATTGAGGGCAGAAGCCCCTGGAGCGGCCATAGGCCATGATATCTGCCTTCAGTGAATCGTAGCTGGCAGGTTTGTGCACACCTGTAATCCCAGCACTTCCAGCCTATGCTACAAAGTGAGATTTTAGCTTAAAAAAAAATAGGCTGGGTGCCAATGCCTGTAATCCTAGCTACTCAGGAGGCTGAGATCTGAGGATCGTGGTTCAAATCCAGCCTGGACAGAAAAGTCCATGAGACTCTTATCTCCAATAAACTACTCACAAAACCAGAAGTGGCGCTGTGGCTCAAGTGGTAGAAGGCTAGCCTTGAAGAGCTGAGAGACAGCGCCCAGGCCCAGAGTTCAAGCCCCATGACCGACCCCCCCAAAAAAAAATAGAATGAAGCTGATGCCAGGGACTCATATCTGTAATCCTAGCTACTCAGAAGACTGAGATTTGAGGATTATAATTCAAAGCCAGCCTGGGCTCAAAGTGGTAGAGTGCTAGCCATGAGCAAACAAAACAAAAGCAAAAAGCTCAGGGACAGTACCTAAGCCATGAGTTCAAAAGCTCCAAGCCCCATGACTGAAAAATAAAAATAAAACCCAGAGAATAACAACATACTTCCTGCCTTGTAGGGCGAAGTAAACACTGATGACAGACATGGCTGCAAACTCAGCTCCCAGCACAGAGGAAGCGCTTAATAAATTAACCTAAGGACGAGCAGAAAGTGGAGTGTGGTGAGCTGATCCTTCTGCCCCTTCACTGTACAAACAGAACTGAGGCCCACAGGTCAGAGGCCCAAAACTCAAGCAGCAATTTGGTCACCGCTAAGACCTGCATCCAAGCGGGCAGACCCTAGGCCAGTACCCTGTGTGGGAACCAAGCCTTCTGTTCTGGAGAGTCCAGAGCCATCTGACCACTCTGCCTCTTCCTGGAGCACCTCCAGGAGTCTCTTAACAACATATTGTGGTACATCCTGCAGTTCTGTGTGATAACCACTGGGTGTCGCTACAAAGCAAAAAGAAACCCAGGCCTGAGGGTTACAACAGCCAGATCTATGAGAATGGAGACAAGAAAAGCTACCACCTTCCAGAACTCCTGCCCCAAGCCCTTTGTCAGCTTCAGCCACCCAAGGTCCCCCGGGAACCATTTCAAGCCATGTTTCCATCCTTCTGCCCTGATAGAAAGAGACCTGGCCACTGCTTTCTTAGGGGCTGCTTTCCCTGCTTAGAAGTACAGAATGGGCTCAGGGAAGGAGCCATGTGCCTTGGGTCTTGCAGCCAAAGCAGGTCTTTAACTCAGACTCAGGCGTTATGCTTTGTATCACATCATCACCTGGCTGTGCTTGATATTTCCCCTAGACTTCTGGCTCCCCAAGGGCAGGGCCCTGTGGAACCCTGTCTCCCTTGGGCCCAAGCCCCAGTGAACACTTCAAAGGCATCTCTCTCTCTAGGGCCTTTTCCTGTCCAGTAGACAGTGCTGACTATGTGTGAGGTGCTAGGCTAAGTCCTACCTTTGAACCATAACCTTCAGGCAGATGCCAAAGAGGAAACAGAAGCATAAGTCTCATCTTAATCATTCAGGGGCAGAACCGAGGGCTCCTGCTATCTGAGCGGTGGCTGAGAGGGAGAGTCTGCCCTGTCCAAGGACTTTGTCCTGTGTGTCCCCCACCAGTGGTTGGTCTTTCTCTCCTGTGTATTTATTTATTTATTTTTCGCAGAGCTGGGGCCTACTGTCCAGGCAAGCACTCTTCCATTGAGCTAAATCCCCACCTCTTTCTTGTTTTATTGTGTTTGTTTTTGTTTTTTTTTTTTTCTTTTTTAGGGGGAGGAGTACTGGTGCTTGAACTCAGGGCCTGGGTGCTGTCCCTTAGCTTTTTCACTCCAGGCTAACACTGTACCTCTTGAGCATTAGCTCCATCCACTTCCAGCTTTTTCCTGGTTCGTTGAAAATAGGAGTCTCATGAACTTTCTGCCTGGGCTGGCTTTGAATCCTGACCTTCAGCTCTCAGCCTCCTGTATGGCTAGGATGACAGGTGTGAAGCCTGCACAGCTTTCTCTCTGTGTTTTTGAGCCTCTGTCAGCTGACTGGTAGCTACTCACTGGTAAACAGGGCCATAAGCATTCACATAGGAGGGTGGGAGCCCTGCCTATCTGTTTGCCCCCCCACCCGTGAGTCCTGTTAAGGCCTTGGCCAATTGAGACCAGAGCTTCTCTGTGAGAGAGGCTGGCACAAGCCCCTTGCTGGCAGGGCTAGTTGGGCCAGAGCGTTTCCTGGGTGGGGCAGCCTTTTCCTTCTACCTCATCATTCCTTGACACCTCACTTTCTCAGAGGAGCAGGGGTGCACTGGAACCCGCTCACATACTTCCACAAGATGAAGAGAAACTTCCAGGGTACCTCTAAGTTGCCTACTAAACTCTGTCACTTCAACTCTGTCAATTAAATTACTTGACTCAGGTGCCAATGGCTCACTTCTGTAAGCCTAGCTACGTGGGAGGCCAAGAGCAGGAAGATCACAGGGGGAGGCCAGTTCTGGCAGAAAAGTTAGTGAGAGTCCTCCTTCTCAATCCATAGGTGTGTGCCTATGGCGTGCCCCAGCTATGTGGGAGGCTGAGATTCGGAGGATTATAGTTCCAGACCACCCTGGAAGAGAAAAGTCTGTCAGATCCCACCTTCTCAGAGGGAGGCTGGATGAACTGTTGTACCCATCATCCCAGAAACACTCAAAAGCCTGAAATAAAATAATGAGAGGCACGTGGGGGAAGTCTTGGTCCAGGTGCATACCTAGGCAGAATGCAAGACCCTACCATAAAAATAGCTAGAAAACAAATTAAAAAACCAGGGCTGAAGCTGGGTGCTAGTGGCTCACATCTGTATGCTAGCTACTCAGGAGGCTGGGATCTGAGGATGGAGGTTCGAAGCCAGCCCAGGCAGAAGAGTCCCTAAGACTCTTATCTCCAGTTAACCAGCAAAAAGCTAGACATGGAAGTGTGGCTCAAGTGGTAGAGCACCAGCCTTGAGTGAAAAAGCTAAAAGACAGAGCCCAGGCTCTGAGTTCAAACCCCAGAACAGACACAAAACAAAACAAAATACAGGACTGGAGGTGTGGTTCAGTGGGACAGTGTTCACCTAGCAAATGGCCTTGAATTCAAGGCCCAAGGCCATCGCTCCCCTACCCTTTGGTGTTGATACCTTGGAAGCTGCTTCCTATCTTTGGGATCAGTGTAGTAGAAATACTATACAGCCCCAAGCTTGCCTCCCAAGGCTCTGTTTGGGTGATTTTATGTTAGTAATTTGAAAGTAACTGTGGTGGGATTATTTACCCCCCAGAAATTGACAAATGCAACAAACCAGAACCTTCTCCTGGGGGAGGAAGGGAGAAGCTGACTGTGACATGGGCTGTAGAACCATCGGAGGGCCTCGTTTGAATCACAGCCTGAGGGAAGGGAGCCTGGCCCCCTGCCAGACCTACACGCTGGTTACAGCTGGCAGAAGGTTTGGTATATCCTGTTCTTGGGGAAATAGAGGGAATTGTGGGGAACGAGAAGGTCCCTGCTCACAGTACCAGAAAATGTGTGTCAAAGGGTTTAGTGCAGACTTGCCGGGAGCAGAGCATAGTAAATATTAATTTACCGAGAGGCCTAAGAGTGGGATCCAATATTCACCATGTCTGAATCTCAAACTGGCTTGTTTTCTGATTGCCAGATCTCTGGCCTGCCAAGCTGCTGTTGATGCGTCTAAATCTCATGTTCCCCTTGTGAAATAGAAATAATAATAGCTACCTCGAAGAGCCGCTCGGAAGATGGAGATGAAAGATGTAAAGTGTCTGGTGAGAAGTGGATACTCAATAAACGGGAGTGATTGCTCAGGATTATCTTTTATTTTCTGTTACTCAGCCAGAAACGCTGCCCAACTTTGTGCGGGCAGCCAGATACAAGCTAGGAGCTGTGGAGACAGGGCCTGATCTCCGCAGCTCCAGTCCTGGCCTTCCTCTTTCTGGCTGGGTCACAAGCCCCTTCAGTGAGGCCTGAGCCCTTAAGGGCTTCAGAGTTGTGAGGACGCTGTTGCTAGGCACTGGTTGCTAGGCAACTCTCTGTTGCTTCTGGCTTGGCCACTGGTTTCTCTGAGCTGCTCCTGCCTCCTCTGGTCTCTGCGGACCACGCAGCTACTCAGGAGGGCAGGTGAGGGTGGGGCTCGCTGCGTGGGGCCCTGGGAGAGCCTAGCCAGCGTCCAGTGGGACGTGGGCAAGGCCGGGGAGCCAGAGAGACTCCTGGGTGCGGCTGGGCGTGAGCAGTAGAGCTAGGATGGTCCAGAAGTTCCAAGAAACACCCAGATCAGGGGCCTGGGCGTGAATCGGCTCTCTCAGCCCCGGGAACCTCACTTTCCCAGCTTTCCAGTGGGGGTGTCAGGTTAATAGGAAGTTGGGAAGAGGACACAAGACTCAAGTAGCCAGGCGATGACAACTGAAGAGTAGTTCTATTATTTTTTTTTTCCATTTTGGGGTGTGGGTGTCCAGGATGGGGATGGAGACCTAGAAAAAGAGCCTGGCCAGGTGGGGGTCGACTGCACCCAGCGGGACATGGAAGCCAGGGCTGGGGACTGATGAGGCTCCCCGCGTTCCTTCTTAGGCCCTCAGGGCCCTGCTCCAGGGACAGCACCATGATAGGGAAACTTCCCATGGGTGTTGCCTCCCCCTATGTGAAGATGAGCTCAGGGGGCTGCTCAGACCCCCTGAAATTCTACGCCACCAGCTACAGCACAGCCTACGGTGAGAACACCCCCCCCCCCCCCGCCGTGGAGAGCCGCCTCCGGGACACTTGGGTGGGATAGAGGGGCCCTGGAGAAGGGGGGGATCTGCCCCTCCCCTACCTTCCCGCAGGACCGCCGCTGCCCCACGCACAGCTCCCACCGACATCTGTTGCTGGCCACAAGACCTGTGCCCTCACCATCCTGCTGTCACAGCCCCACCTGCCAGGCCTCCCCAACACCCATCTCACAGCGGCCCCTGAGCCCCAGGGGATGGCAGCCGTGCCCAGCAACTCCCCCCACACACACCTTTTTTGTCAGTTGTGGGGCTTGAACTCTGGGCCTGGGCGTTGTCCCTCAGCTTAAGGCGAGAGCTCTACCACTTGAGCCACAGCACCACTTCTGGTTTTCTAGTGGTTTATTGGAGATAAGAGTCTCACAGACTTTCTTGCCCTGGCTGGCTTTGAACCGAGATCCTCTGATCTCAGCCTCCTGAGTAGCTAAGATTGCAGGCGCGAGCCACCGGCGCCCGGCTGCAAGTCCCCTTCTTCCTCCTCACCTCTGCTGACCCCAACTCTTGCCCCTTCCCCACTGTTGCCCTCCGCAGGACGAGGTGAGTTCAAGCCCCACCTGGGCAGCCATGAAGGCACAGGTTACAAGTCAAACTACCGTCCTCTGGCCACCTACCAGCCCAACATGGATACGATGGACAATCCAGCCATGAGGTACGGGCTGTGCACCCCCTCCCTTCGTCCTGCTGGGCCTCTGCGCTCCTCGCCACAACCTGGGATTTTAGGGGGCTCTGGGTGTGAGGCCCGGGGAGCCCTGAGTTCCCTGGGAGAGGAGAAGGAAGTGGGGAGCCCCTAGGAATAAACCACCAGCTGCTCAGGGCAAGGGTAGGTGGCCAGGTGGTTCTGATTGTCCCAGCCCCCACTCTGCCTGCCTTCTCCAGAGAACAGGTCCGAGACAGCCTCCAGTCAGTGGCCAGCCAGAGTTACTGCCCTCCAGAGAAGCCCGACGCCAAAGGCCCGCTGCCCTGGAACATGCACCAGTCTCCCTCAGGCTACGGGCGGGAGCGGCTCCACACGGGGCCCATCACCACCAAGGAGGTCAGTGTGGAGCTCTGGAGGGGAGGCAGGGAGGAGGCTGAGAGGTTGGAGGTCCTTCAGGGACACCGCTGCTAACTGTGCTTGAGACGGAAATGGCTTTGTGGAGGAGCCACCCTGAGGAATGAGGGTCTCGCTTACCTTTACCCCCCCCCCGCTCCAGCTCTGCCCCCCCACCCCCGCTCCAGCTCTGCCCCCCCACCCCTGCTCCAGCTCTGCCCCCCCACCCCCGCTCCAGCTCTGCCCCCCCAACCCTGCTCCAGCTCTGCCCCCCCACCCCTGCTCCAGCTCTGCCCCCCCACCCCTGCTCCAGCTCTGCCCCCCCACCCCGCTCCAGCTCTGCCCCCCCAACCCCCGCTCCAGCTCTGCCCCCCCAACCCCCGCTCCAGCTCTGCCCCCACCCACCCCTGCTCCAGCTCTGCCCCCCCCACCCCTGCTCCAGCTCTGCCCCCCCACCCCTGCTCCAGCTCTGCCCCCCACCCCCGCTCCAGCTCTGCCCCCCCACCCCTGCTCCAGCTCTACCCCCCTACCCCTGCTCCAGCTCTGCCCCCCCACCCCTGCTCCAGCTCTGCCCCCCACCCCTGCTCCAGCTCTGCCCCCCCACCCCTGCTCCAGCTCTGCCCCCCCACCCCCGCTCCAGCTCTACCCCCCCCACCCCTGCTCCAGCTCTGCCCCCCCCACCCCTGCTCCAGCTCTGCCCCCCCACCCCTGCTCCAGCTCTGCCCCCTCACCCCTGCTCCAGCTCTGCCCCCCCACCCCTGCTCCAGCTTTGCCCCCCCCCGCTCCAGCTCTGCCCCCCCACCCCTGCTCCAGCTCTGCCCCCCCCCGCTCCAGCTCTGCCCCACTCACCCCTGCTCCAGCTCTGCCCCCCCACCCCTGCTCCACCTCTGCCCCCCCACCCCTGCTCCAGCTCTGCCCCCCCACCCCTGCTCCAGCTCTGCCCCCCACCCCTGCTCCAGCTCTGCCCCCCCACCCCTGCTCCAGCTCTGCCCCCCCACCCCTGCTCCAGCTCTGCCCCCCACCCCTGCTCCAGCTCTACCCCCCACCCCTGCTCCAGCTCTGCCCCCCCACCCCTGCTCCAGCTCTGCCCCCCACCCCTGCTCCAGCTCTACCCCCCACCCCTGCTCCAGCTCTACCCCCCCCACCCACCCCTGCTCCAGCTCTGCCCCCCACCCCTGCTCCAGCTCTGCCCCCCCACCCCTGCTCCAGCTCTGCCCCCCACCCCCGCTCCAGCTCTACCGCCCACCCCTGCTCCAGCTCTGCCCCCCCACCCCTGCTCCAGCTCTGCCCCCCACCCCTGCTCCAGCTCTGCCCCCCCACCCCTGCTCCAGCTCTGCCCCCCCCCCGCTCCAGCTCAACCCCCCCCACCCCTGCTCCAGCTCTGCCCCCCACCCCTGCTCCAGCTCTGCCCCCCCACCCCTGCTCCAGCTCTGCCCCCCCCACCCCCGCTCCAGCTCTACCCCCCACCCCTGCTCCAGCTCTGCCCCCCCACCCCTGCTCCAGCTCTGCCCCCCACCCCTGCTCCAGCTCTGCCCCCCCACCCCTGCTCCAGCTCTGCCCCCCCTGCTCCAGCTCTGCCCCCCCACCCCTGCTCCAGCTCTGCCCCCCCAACCGTGCTCCAGCTCTGCCCCCCCACCCCTGCTCCAGCTCTGCCCCCCCACCCCTGCTCCAGCTCTGCCCCCCCACCCCTGCTCCAGCTCTGCCCCCCCTGCTCCAGCTCTGCCCCCCCACCCCCGCTCCAGCTCTGCCCCCCCACCCCCGCTCCAGCTCTGCCCCCCCACCCCTGCTCCAGCTCTGCCCCCCCACCCACACCTGCTCCAGCTCTGCCCCCCCACCCCTGCTCCAGCTCTGCCCCCCACCCCTGCTCCAGCTCTGCCCCCCCACCCCTGCTCCAGCTCTGCCCCCCCTGCTCCAGCTCTGCCCCCCCACCCCCGCTCCAGCTCTGCCCCCCCACCCCTGCTCCAGCTCTGCCCCCCACCCCTGCTCCAGCTCTGCCCCCCACCCCTGCTCCAGCTCTGCCCCCCCACCCACCCCCGCTCCAGCTCTGCCCCCCCACCCCTGCTCCAGCTCTGCCCCCCACCCCTGCTCCAGCTCTGCCCCCCACCCCCGCTCCAGCTCTGCCCCCCCACCCCTGCTCCAGCTCTACCCCCCCACCCCTGCTCCAGCTCTACCCCCCCCTGCTCCAGCTCTGCCCCCCCACCCCCGCTCCAGCTCTACCCCCCCCCACCCCTGCTCCAGCTCTGCCCCCCCACCCCTGCTCCAGCTCTGCCCCCCACCCCCGCTCCAGCTCTGCCCCCCCACCCCTGCTCCAGCTCTACCCCCCTACCCCTGCTCCAGCTCTGCCCCCCCACCCCTGCTCCAGCTCTGCCCCCCACCCCTGCTCCAGCTCTGCCCCCCCACCCCTGCTCCAGCTCTGCCCCCCCACCCCCGCTCCAGCTCTACCCCCCCCACCCCTGCTCCAGCTCTGCCCCCCCACCCCTGCTCCAGCTCTGCCCCCCCTGCTCCAGCTCTGCCCCCCACCCCTGCTCCAGCTCTGCCCCCCCCACCCCTGCTCCAGCTCTGCCCCCCCACCCCTGCTCCAGCTCTGCCCCCCCACCCCTGCTCCAGCTCTGCCCCCCACCCCTGCTCCAGCTCTGCCCCCCCCACCCCTGCTCCAGCTCTGCCCCCCCCACCCCTGCTCCAGCTCTGCCCCCACCCCCGCTCCAGCTCTGCCCCCCCACCCACCCCTGCTCCAGCTCTGCCCCCCCACCCCTGCTCCAGCTCTGACCCCCACCCCTGCTCCAGCTCTGCCCCCCACCCCTGCTCCAGCTCTGCCCCCCACCCCTGCTCCAGCTCTGCCCCCCACCCCTGCTCCAGCTCTGCCCCCCACCCCTGCTCCAGCTCTGACCCCCCCACCCCTGCTCCAGCTCTACCCCCCCACCCCTGCTCCAGTTCTGCCCCCCCACCCCTGCTCCAGCTCTGCCCCCCCACCCCTGCTCCAGCTCTGCCCCCCCACCCCTGCTCCAGCTCTGCCCCCCCCACCCCTGCTCCAGCTCTGCCCCCCCCACCCCTGCTCCAGCTCTGCCCCCCCACCCCTGCTCCAGCTCTGCCCCCCCCACCCCTGCTCCAGCTCTGCCCCCCCACCCCTGCTCCAGCTCTGCCCCCCCACCCCTGCTCCAGCTCTGCCCCCCCTCCAGCTCTGCCCCCCACCCCTGCTCCAGCTCTGCCCCCCCCTCCAGCTCTGCCCCCCCACCCCTGCTCCAGCTCTGCCCCCCCACCCCTGCTCCAGTTCTGCCCCCCCACCCCTGCTCCAGCTCTGCCCCCCCACCCCTGCTCCAGCTCTGCCCCCCACCCCTGCTCCAGCTCTGCCCCCCACCCCTGCTCCAGCTCTGCCCCCCCACCCCTGCTCCAGCTCTGCCCCCCCACCCCTGCTCCAGCTCTGCCACCCCCCACCCCCGCTCCAGCTCTGCCCCTCACCCCTGCTCCAGCTCTGCCCCCCACCCCTGCTCCAGCTCTGCCCCCCCCGCTCCAGCTCTGCCCCCCACCCCTGCTCCAGCTCTGCCCCCCACCCCTGCTCCAGCTCTGCCCCCCCCCTCCAGCTCTGCCCCCCCACCCCTGCTCTCTCCAGGTCCCTCCACACCCATCACCACCCCCAACCCGACTCCTCCCAGTCTCCAGCACCCATCCCACATCCAGGCTCTTTGTCACCCCCATTGTCACGATCACCCCATCCATCTTCTTTGTGGAACAAAGATAGATGGCGAGGCAGAGAGAGAGTGTGTGTGTCCTGGGACTTGAACTCAAGGCCTGGACACTGTCCCTGAGCTGCTTAAGTCTAGTGCTCTGCCATTTTGAGCCGTAGCTCCACTTACAGCTTTTTGGTGGCTCTTTGGAGATAAGAGTCTCACATTTTTTCTCCAGGCTGGCTTTGAACCGCAATCCTCAGCTCTTAGCCTCCTGAGTAGCTAGGATTACAGGCAGGAGCCACTGGCACCCAGCTCCATCTTCTTTGTTTCTCTCATTATTACCATCATTCATTCTTACCATCACCATGGTCTCCAGGACACACCTCTGTCCATCCGTGCATTCATCCATTCATCCATCCATTCAAATTCATCCAATGAATGTATTTGGAACATCTTTCACAGTTGGAGGAGATGGGAGCAGGGGAGAAGTAGGGATAAGAATGAGAGCTGGGAAAAATCTTACTGTCGGGATAAAGCCTTGAAGGCAGGTAGCATCCTCTACTTGCAGCCATTTGAGAGAAGAGAGTTCTAGGCACTGCCAGTGGCAGGTACCAAGGCGCTGTAGAAGGCGTGGGGGAGGGGGAGGAGGAAGAGGAGGAAACGCTGCACCATCCCTGCCCCAGAGCATCATGGGACCCCTCCAGTGTTATCCTCGTGCGGTCACTAGGGAAGGGCAAGGGGAGAGTGAGGAGGTGTGCATAGAGGGCCATTGGTACTTCCTCCTCCAGATCAGGAAGGTTCATTTCGACACGCAGGATCACGGGCCCCAGACCATCACAGGGCTGGAGCCCAAGCAGGTGCCTCTGCTCCACCAGCACCTCGACAAGGGCTCCCTGGAGCTGGAGAACATGCGCCATGTGAGCGGAAGCCTGAGGCTGGGGGCTGGGAGGCAGGCCCGAGTCTGGCTCCATAGTCCGATGCTACATGTCAGCCCTTGCCCACTCGCCCAGGGAGAACTTGGAGGGGGACTGGGGCACCAAGAAACTCAAGAAGGAGGGATTTGTGATCGGATTATTTCCCAAACAGCATTAAGGTGACCCCCATGGACACCCTTCTGTCCCCGCTTAGCCTCCCTCTTTTTGTGTTCTAGGGGCCCCGATACATGACTACAGAGTACAACGCCAAGTACCTCAAAGATCCTCCCCACCAGGCAGGTAAGCCCACCTGTGAGTCAGGCCACCCTGCCCAGTGGCTGCCTCCATGGGTCCCCGTGGGTGGAGCGGCCCGTATGCCCAGGACCCGCTGTGTCCCAGAGCCATGGCTGAGCAGAGCTGCTCCCGGCCTTTGCCTCGCCCTTACATCTGCCTGCCTCTGTTCTGGAGTCTCCGTCCTGATGACCAACATCCTCAGCTCCCCTGAGCTGCACGGATCCTGTCCCAGCCTCTGTTGTCCTGGGCAGCACAGGAGATCTGTCTTTTACAGAGTTCTTGCACAAAAAATCCATTGGCGCCAAGGAGGATACTGGCTTCACCAAAGATTCCAACGAGAATCCTATCATCTTCCAGCCACCGTCCCAGGCTCCTCCTGGAGACCCCGTAAGTTCCTGGGGCCCTAGCTAGACTTTCAATGTCTCTGAAGCCTTCTGGTCTACAGATTTCAAGCTTTATTCAGATACGAACTGTAAAGCCCCACATTGAAGACCGGCACCGGTGGCTCACGCCTGTAATCCTAGCTATTTAGGAGGTTGAGATCTAAGGATCCCCAACCAAAGTCAGCACAGGCAGAAAAGTCTGTGAGACTCTTAGCTCCAATTATAACCAGAAGAAAGCCAGAAGAAAAGTTATGGATCAAGTAGTCGAGGACTAGCCTTAAGTAAAAAAGCTAAGGGGAGATCAGGAGGCCCTGAGTTCAATCCCCAGTACTGGTGTGTGTGCGTGTACACTTGCACACACACACAGAGCGCCCCATGTTCAAACACAAGATGAAAGAGCTTAGTAAAAAACACTGCTTTGAGGTCAGGCGCTAGTGGCTCATGCTTGTAATCCTAGCTACTTAGGAGGCTGAGATCTGAGGATCGCGGTTCAAAGCCAACCTGGGCAATAAAGTCCATGACTCTTATCTCCAATAAACCACTAGAAAACTGGAAGTGGCACTGTAGCTCAAGTGGTAGAGCACTTGTCTTGAGCTGAAGAGCACAGGGACAACGCCCAGGCCCAGAGTTCAAGCCCCACGACTGACCAAAAAAAAAAAGAAAAGAAAGAAAGAAAAGGAAAAGAAAACCAGTGCTTTGGTGCATTTCCCCCACCACAGAGAGGAGAGTCTTGAGGTGTGGGGAGATGAAGGTGCTCCCAGCCACGGCCCTGGGATTGGCCTTTCTCTCCCAGCTTCTTCCTTTCCTCAGTCACCCAGCGAGGCCCAGCCGTGAGCCCCGGCCCTCCTGTGAACTCAGCACAGTGAGGGGCATCTCCAAGCAGAGAGGGCATCTGGGAACAGGTGCCAAGCTGAGGCTCCCTTGTGGACCCCTTTTTCAGGTCCTCCTCCCAAGCCAGAGTGTCACCAAGTCCGACTTCATGCCAATGACTCACCCACAAGTAAGCAGCTGCCCTGGGATGCAGGAGGGGGCTCCTGGGGAAGAGGGAGGACAGGGGCGGGGCCTGGAGGTGGCCACACCCAGAGGTGAAGGCATGATTGCTTTGCTTCTCTCAGGGAAGTGACCACCTCCCCGTGTTGGCCAGAGGCTCTGAGCGGGAGACGGGCTACAGCCGAGTGAATGAGAGGATCCTGAACCCCAGAGTGAGTGATGGGGGTCTCAGGCGAGAGGATTTGGATAGCTGGACCCGTGGGGACCCGGGCCTCCCAGGAGGAGGGGAAGGAGTGTGCTCAGAAACAGCCAATTACACTTAGGAGGCTGAGCTCGGAGGATCGAGGTTCAAAGCCACCCTGGGCAGGAAAGTCTGTAAGACTCTGATCTCCAATTAACCACCAGAAAACCAGAAGTGGCACTGTAGCTCAAGTGGTAGAGCACTTGAGGCCTTGAGCTGAAGAGCTAAGGGACAGTACCCAGGCCCAGAGTTCAAGACCCATGACTGACCAAAAAACAAAAACAAACAGCAACAACAACAAAAAACAGCAATTATACTCAGCAGGAAGGTAGTGTGCATCTGCCTGGCCTCCACTCTTTTTTTTTTTTTTTGTCAGGATTTGAACTCAGGTCTTGGGCACTGTCCCTGAACTCTTTTGCTCAAGGCTAGCACTCTAGCACCGTTTTACTTCCGGTTTCTGGTGATTAATTGGAGATCAGAGTTCTCACAGACTTTCCTGCGGGGGCTGGAGTTGAACCACAATCTTCAGATCTCAGCCTCCCGAGTAGCTAGGATTACAGGCAGGAGCTACCAGAGCCAAGCTTGGCCTCCATTCTTTTTCTGTGTGTTTGCCAGTACAGGGCTTGAATTCAGGGCCTCCGGCTCTTGCTTGGCATTTTCCGCTCAAGGTTGGTGCTCTACCACTTGAGCCACACTACCACTTGTAGTTTAACTCATTGGAGTTAAGGGTTTTATGGACTTTCCTACCCAGGCTGGCTTTGAACCGTGATCCTCAGAATTCATCCTCGAGAGTAGCTAGGATTCCAGGACTCCTGCCCCTCCCTGCCTGGGGTGGTTCTATCTTGTGGCTCTGACCCCTCCAGGTACCCCCACCAAGTCTAGAATCCAGAAGCCTGGGCTCCCGGCAGTACCAGGCACCCCAACGAGTACAACAGTCAAACGTGGCCATGCTTGGCAGAGACACTGTAGGAAGAAAGGTGAGGCCTGCCCGGCCCAGCCGGGCCATCCACCCCCAGCCCCCACCCTGCTCCGCCCCACCTGATGATCTCCCTGTCTTCCCCTGGGATAGGAGCTCTCGGGGTTCAGTCTTAACAACCCCACCTACTTCCGGAGCTCCTGTGACCCCAACAGGGATCAGCAGTACCTGACCACCTACAACCAAGGGTGAGAGTCCGCCATTGAGACCCATTTCACAGACTGGAAGAACGAGGCAGGGATGTAGACGCTGCTCATAGCTTTGGGGAGATGACCCACGTTGAACTCTAGTCTGTTGTTCCCCTGAACCAAACATTCAAGTCAGGTTCTTCTTGGGGGCTTGCAGGGGAAATATGGAGGGTGGAGGGGAGGCAGCCAGGAAATGGGGGGGGGGGGTAGTGGGGGTGTTAGGAGGCCAGCTGTCCCCACAATAGAAACTGTACAAAACAGTGTAGGACACACCATTCAGAATCATCCCAGCCACCGGGTGAGAGAGTGGGCGCTCACACCTACCCCCATCAGTCTCTGGGATGATACGAAGTCCCAGGGGCCTCCTTGATCCTAAGATACTAAGTGTAGTCCATGGCACGTGTGCTCTGGACTTGGAGCAAGGGCTCAGGCAGGGCCGCCGGCGCGAGCACGCCCCCTAGTGGACAAGGGCTTGGGGTGCCCCAGAGGAAGACCAGGCAAGACCAGCACAGGGCTGGCTGCTCCACCCCTCCTCTGTTCCAGGTACATGGACAACATCCCCAGAGGCCGAGACTGGGAAGGCTGGACTCGAGGCGGCGTCCAGCCCCAGATGGCAGGAAGCTATGCCCTCAACATGGAGGGGGCCCCAAGCCCTACAGAGTGCCAACGGCGCCCGAACCCCCCCAACATGGCAAGGTTAGCAGACCCACGGTTCTCTCCCTTCTCACGCCCCTCAGCCGGCTCCAGGTCCTTCTCCTGCCTCCATCTGTCTGTGCCTCTGCGAGGCCATTTCTTCTGGTTGGCTCTGTGGTGTGTGTGTGTGTGTGTGTGTGTGTGTGTGTCTGTGTCTGTGTGTCTGTGTCTGTGTGTGTTGGTCCTGGGGCTTGAACTCAGGGCCTCAGTGCTGTCCCTGAGGCATTTTTTTTACTCAAGAATAGCACTCTGTCACTTGAGCCACAGCTCTACTTCTGGCTGTTTTTAGTGGTAAATTGGAGATAAAGAGTCTCACAGACTTTCCTTTCCAGACTGGCTTTGAACTTTGATCCTCACATCTCAGCCTCCGGGAGTAGCCGGCATTACAGGCGTGAGCCACACATGCCAAGCCTCTTGGTTGGCTTTTCTGCCTCTGTCCTCTTGTCTGTCCAGCGATTTCTCCCTCTGGGCCCCCATTCCCCTTTCCTACTCCCCCCCTCCAGCTCCCTTCTGCACAGGGGCAGTGTGGGAGGGGTACAAAGATGAATGGACGGTGGATCTGCCTCTCTCCTGATTCCTTTCTACTCATCTCTTCAAAACCTGTGCTCACGTGACACGCGGCCCAAGTTGGCAGGCACTGATGTTTTGTGGCTTGGCTGCTTTGGCTCAGGCTTGGACTATTCTCTGGCTGTCAAGGAGGAGCTGGCAGAAGAGAGGGTCCAGACCCCTGCTGCTTCCTCTCTCCCCCTCCCTTCTTCCTTCCCTCCCATCTTCTCTCTCCTCTGCAGAACTATGACCTCAGCTGACCCCTTTTCCCGAAATCCAGCTCATGGCACCTACCACCTGGCCTCCAGCTGAACCTAAGGCCCCCCCCAGGTAAGGCACCTGAACCCCCTCCTAGGCTGCTCCCTGGAGCAGCAGCCCTGGTGTGGGGGTCCCTAACTTCCAAGCGGGGGTGGACTCTTGGAGGGACTGTCTTTGACAGTTGGCAGAACCACTTTGCCCTTGCTTCCGTCCCTCTTCCCAGGCTGCACTGCCTCCCAGCGACAGGAGCAGAGCCCAGCCTTCCCTCCAGCTCCCACGGAGAGCCCCTCAGCTACTTTCCTAAGGAAATAAAGCGCATAGCATCAGAACACTGTGCCGGCCATTGTCAGGGGACTGGGGAAAAAAGGGGTGATCTGGGCCCTGAGTGCTGGGGTAGAGAGGCTAGGGTGGGATTTTGAATCTGAGACTCACTGGAGAAGGAATCACTGTGGCTGTAGGACAAGGCTCCTGCCCTTCACTAACCCTAGGCCTTCATTACTTGGTCTATAAGATGGAGGTGGAATTAGGGCAAAGACATGTGTGCCTTCTGTGACTATGCTGGATGGGTTGAGGAGGAAGGGTTTAAGTGGAGGAGAGCAGAGACCAGAGACCAGCTTCCAGAAAGATGGAGGTGAGTCTATGATGGTTGGAGAACTGGATATCCAACATGGGGGAGGGAGGCTGATTGCAGAGGTTGCTGCTAGGCAGCCTCTTTGTGAGAATGAGAACACACCGGTGGATGCTGCACCTTAGCACAAGTCCTCACAGGCAAACATCAGTGGGAAGAGGTGCTGCAGCCTGGCATCAGAAGGCCCCAGCCTGCAACCTGGACTAGTTCTCAGCACCCTTTGCCACACAGCCAGGTGCATTTGTGCAGTACACAGCCCACCAACTGTGTAGCACATCCCCGCCAGCACCAGCCAGGACTCAGAGGGGCGAGGATTTAGATGAGGCCCTGCTGGTCCCTGCTGTACCCAGTGCAGTCCCGCCTGACGGGCCCAGGGCCTGTCCACAGCCTGGGTGGGGCTCCATGTGGGCTGTGGGTGGCTCCAGCTGGTCCCGCATTCGAGGAGGTGGAGCTGAGGACACAGAGTCTCTCGGCTAGAAACCCAGCCAAGCTGGGGGCCCAGGGACAGCCAACAGGCTGTGGGTGGAGACCTGCTGCTCCATGACCCCCCCAAATGAGAGACGAGACCCCGTCCCAGAGATGGAGCTCTACCCCAACCCTGCCCTGGCCGCTGCGTGGGGTGGGGGCAGGGAGTCCCAGGGGAATCAGTCCACACACAGGACACACCACTGTGAACGCAAAGGACACAGACTCCTACCAGCACACACACACACACACACACACACACACACGTCCCTCCTCTGTGACTCCTTCCCACAAGAGAGTGCTTTTTTTTTTTGTCAGTCAGGGGGCTTGAACTCAGGGCCTGCACACTGTCCCTCAGCTCTTTTGCTCAAGACTAGTGCTCTACCACTTGGAGCCAAAGCTCCTTTTCCAGGTTTCTTCCTTCCTTCCTTTTCTTTCCTTCTTTCCTTCCTTCCTTCCTCCCTCCCTTCTTCCCTTCCTCTCTTTTTCTCTCTCTCTCTCTTTCTTTCTTTCTTTCTGTCGGTCATGGGGCCTGAACTCTGGGCCTGGGCGCTGTCCCTCAGCTCTTTAGCTCTAGGCTAGCACCCCAGCACTTGAGCCACAGCACCACTGTGAGGAATCGAACCCAGGGCCTCATGCATGAGAGGCAAGCACTCTACCACTGAGCCACCTTCCCAGCCCTCTTCCAAGTTTCTGAGTAGTTTATTGGAGACGAGTCTCCCGGACTTTGCTGCCTAGCTTGGCTTTGAACTGCAGTTCTCAGATTGCAACTTCCTGAGTAGCTAGGATGACAGGTGTGAGCCACTGGCACCCGGCCCAAGAGTTCTTTTCCACCCCACGGCTCGTGTTTCCCACTCACCCTACTTCTACCTGGCCGGATGAGGATGTGGTGTCAGGGACAGGGACACTGGAGCCCGATTACTTTCTCTTTCTCTCTCCTCCCCCTTCTTCCCCCTCCCCCTGTCAGTGTCCTGGATCTACCAGTGGAACAACCCCGCAATGACTCCTCCCCTCCCTTGCCCCTGGTCCAAGGGTGGGGGGCTACGTGAGGACATTGGATGGCAGGAGGAGGGGCTGGGAGGGGCTGGGTACAAGCCTGGTGGGTTTTGGCACCCTGGCCTGGTACACATGGCCTGTCGCAGGTCACACAGCCATGGACATGCGTGGGGCCCCGGGGAGGGCAGAAGTCTGGGAGGGGCTGCGTGAGGCTCAAGCCACACCCCTTCCTTGGGCTCCGCAGCAGGCCGGTGTCAGAGGGGCAGGGAGAGCACGCCTGGACCGCAAGGGCAAGCGGCTGGGGGAGGTCCCAAGAGGACAGGCTGGCATGGCCAGCAGGACCCGGAAGGGAAGTGTGCGCACAGGGCCGTCTTGAGGTCCTAGCTAAGGAGCCCTCAACATGCCACTCCTTCTAGTGAGGCCCAACACGGGCAGGAACTACGTCTGTCTGACAGCTGAAAGTCCAGAGCCTAGGTCAGCTCCTGGCTTGTTTGGAAGGGCTTGCTAAATACCACATGGATGAATGAATGAATGAGTGAATAAATACGCAAAGGAGCAAATCAGTTCATGCAAGAGTGAGTGAGTGAGAGTAACGAAAGGAAAGAAGAATGAGGAAGGAACAACGGAGTGAATGAATAAAAGAGTGAAGGAGTGGACAAATAACGGAGTGAATGAATGCGTGAGAGCGGATGACCAACTGATGAACAAATGAGTGAATGGTGAACCAATGAGCGCCTTAGGGAATGAATGAATGAGCGCGTGAGAATAGGTGCATAAAGGAATGACTGAATGAGCAAACGACCGACTGAATGAATGAATGCGGGAGAGAATGAGTTCATGAGTAAACGAATGAGTGAAGAACGGCGTGACCATGCCTGCCAGTGGAGGCGGCAGATGGCATCCCTGTCAGCAGGGTGGCAGCCGCCCAGGCTCTCCACATCTGGGCAGCTGGCCGTGGAGCCCCGCAGCTGGGCTAGGCCGCCCCTTCCAGGGGCCTCGGCTGTGCCTGTCAGGCTGGGCCTTTTCTCACAGTGTCCCCTTGGCCTCCCAGCCTCTCACCAAGCCCACCAACTCCCCGATGGTGGCCTAAGACCCTGCTTGGGGCCCCAGAGGCCCCCAAGCCCTGGGAGTCCTCTCCCCTCGGGCAGCTGGGCTGCTCGCTGCCAGGTGAAGGGACTGTCTGGCTACCTGGACTTTGCTATCACCTGTGTGATGTCGTCAGTCACCGAACCACTCTGAGCTGCAGCCAACAGCACCTACTCAGTGGACAAAACGAGATGCTGTACAAAGAGCACTTAGCACCAAAAGGGTAGCGGCGCTGAACCTGGTGCAGAAAGAACCGAAACCAAGATGGAAGAGGGAAGAGCTAGATCAAGGCCGCATGGCCTCCTGCAGGCCTTTCTCTGGGTGACTGCTGGTGACTCACACCTGTAACCCCAGCTACTCAGGAGACTTGAGATCTCAGGATCTCACTTGCAAGTCAGCCTGAGACTCATCTCCAATCTACCACCCCAAAGCCGGAAGTAGGGCTGTGGTTCAAGTGGCAGAGCACCAGCATTGAGCAAAAAAAAAAAGCACTAAATGACAGTACCCAGGCCCTGAGTTCAAGCCCCAGGGTTGGCACTGAGTTTTCAAGAGGACTTGGGGGTCCCCTAAGGCCACCTCCTGCCAGTCCTCTATGGCAGCTGCCTCCCTCCTCCCGTTGGGGGACGGCTGCAGATGCTTCCTCCCCCTCTCTCCGCGGATATTTTAGCGCACTTTCGAGGTGTGCAATGATGGTGATTAACGTTTATTACGCTCCCACAGCCTGCCAGGTGCTGCGAGGCTCCCGTGGGCTTGCACCTCTTCAGTGAGAACACAGAGGGAGGGGTCCCCCGGGGGGGGGGGGGAAGGCTGAGGACTCCCGTGGGCAGGGCACGGAGGGCACTGGGAGGAGGGGTAGGGCCCGAGGCTGCAGGATGGAGACCCATGCTGGGTTCATGCCATGGAGCCCTCACTTCCAACGCCTGTGTGAGGCGTGCCCGATCGTGGCGCCGAGGTTGGCAGGTACCATCTGGCCTGGGTCATAGGATGACACAGAACCTCAGCTCTGGGGGGGGCGGGCACTGATCGCTGTCCAGCTGGGAGAACTGGGCTCCCAGGGGGCACGGGGGCGTTGCAAGGCATGTGTCTGTGGGCGGTGGAGGCCCGGGGAGTGTTGGGAAAGCCTGCATGGGGAAGCTGGGCATGATGGGTATGGTACACACAGACAGATGGAGTGCGTGAAACTCTGAATTACTTCTCCAGTTTCCTCTCGGGCCATCTGTGCAGCCACCCATTCCCGGGGAACTGTTCCCCAAACAAGCAAATAGGCAAACCCACGGAAGGAATGGGGTCCCTCAGCCCCTACCTGTGCCTCTCCTGAAAGGGTGAGTGGGGGAGACTGGCCGGGCCGGCCCGTTGGCTGCAGAGATCTATTGAGAGAGAGCACTGGAGACACCTAGCCCAGGGTCCACCTGGGCTAGCATGGAGCCATGCGACCTGAGGCCGGGCAGAGGCTGTGTCTGGCTGTGTCCTTGGGATCCTGGACTCCAGGATGGGTTGGGCAGGGCACCCAGGGTGAGTGAACTCGGGGGAACCCACTCCGGGGCCCACATCAAGTAGGCATCCGGTGGTGCGGGGGCTGCTGTTAAAGTAGGAGTGTGAGGGGGGGAGGGAGGGGGGAGATCATGTGACTCCCCAAAGGCTCACAGCCCAGGTATCAAGTTCCTATGGAGCCACAGAAACCTGCTTTGACTAATTTAAATGGAAAGGAAAATTCTAATGACTACAGCCAACATTGCCCGTGGCTCCCGGGTTCCCCCACTGCTCCCCAGCTACCTAGAAGCAGCCTCTGCTGCCAGTCCTCCCTCTCCTTCTCCAGAGGCCTCCTTCTGGTCCTTTCTGCTCTGTAGGCAGCCCAAGATCTTGGTAGGTGCTTCTGGGATGGGGAAGGAATGCTCGAAGGCCACGTGGGTGTGTCCAGCTCGCAAGGGATGCTGGGAAAGAGAGTGTGTAGTGTGTTCAGCTTTCAGAAAATGAGAGGAGGGGATTCTGCTTGCTTCTCTCTCTGTCTCTCTCTCTCCCCTTTCTTTTTTATTTGTGGGTCATGAGATTTGAACTCAGGGCCTAGGTGCTGTCCCTGAGCTTTTGTGCTCAAGTCTAGTCCTCTGCC